CTGATACCAAGGGCTCAAGTAGAAAGAAAATGTTTTGAGAAAGATGATGGCAATAAATGTACAAATGTGCTTGACACAATGGATGGATGTATGGATTGGAATAAGAATTGTACGAACCTCAAATAAAATGATTTTTTTTAAAAAGGAAATGCCTAGAAAAGAATGATGGCAACATATGTACAAATATGTCTGATACAATTGATGTATGGATTCTAATGAACTGTAAGAGCCCCCAATAAAATGTTTTTTTTAAAGGATTTTTTTTAAAAGGATTACAAGAATGGAATCAGATTTGACAATTGTATTAAGTGTAATGGAGAGTACTTTGAAGGTGATAAGGTTGTTTTGTAAATAAGTAAATAAATACCTATCTTTGAAAAAAAAGGATCAAAAGGATAAGCTGTGTGGTGCTCTCTGAGCAACCAGGCAGAGAGAGAAATTCAAAAGGGAAGCTTTTGCATTGCAAACTATAAAAATATCAAAGTTTGGCTTCGGATACTTAGTAAAATGTAAATATCTAACGCATCTTTTAAAAACAGAAACAGAGAAGTAACTGTAAACAATATCTTCCTTAGTTTTAAAATAAAAGTTTCTTAAAAAAATAAAAGATTCAAATCATCCTTATACATTAGCAGTTACTGCTTCCTAATTAGAAAGCAAATTACTACATCAATTCTTAGAATTATGTTTGCCAAAAACATCTATAATTGTAAACACTACAGTTAACACCCGGTAAGGTTCTTAACAATATAACTCATACAATGTGGGTTTAACCTTGTTAAAATAAGAATTTCAAAGTTAAATAAGTTATCTTCATTAAACAGTATCTTCAGAAAAGAGCACTATTTCGTTTGTGGATATTCACTAGTGTTAAAAATGAAATGCGTAATTGCTATCTTTAAATCTTTATTCAAATCAGTCATACTATTTACATTATAATACAAATTTTAGTTCATTTAGACTAAAATATCAATCTGAAGTTTAAGTCATACTTTTTTTAGCTCTTTACCAAACACCATATAAAACTGTGTATAAGCTGAGTTTTTCAGCACATTTTTTATGCAGTTTTTGTGGTACACTTAGGTGCCTTGGCTGATATTCGGGTCAGCTTATAGTCAAGTGTATACAGTAAATAAAGTTAACTGTCAAATACATGTTGAAGGAAATTATTTTATTAGTTGGGATTTAATACATATAAGGGGGTACTCCCCCAAAATGGATTCCCCCCCAAAACGATATATTTACATTTTTTTATAAAACATCCTTATCATTTTCAAAGTACTCTCCATGACACTTAATACATTTGTCAAATGGACAATTCCATTCTTGGAAGCATTTTTCAAACTCATCTGTTTAGATGTCTGACAGCACCACCCTCCTTTTTCTCTTCCTCTTCCTCAAATCACTGTCCTTTCATGTTCCTCTTCGTTCGCAGAGACAAAAAGAAGTCACATGGAGTGCGGTCAGGTGAGTAAGGTGTGTGGGGCAAGACAGGCATGCTATTTTTTCCCCCTAAAACAGGCACAATGAGATGGCTGCGTGAGCAGGTGCAATGTCGTGGTGACAAACCCAGGCCACAAATCAGCCCTTTTTTTGTTGTGCACTGTTATGCAACCTGTTCAGGAACTCTAGAGAGCCTGATTTAACAGTCTGACCTGGTGGAATGAACTCCACATGCACTACACGTTCAGAGTTGACATTTTTGTCTGTTCAGGAAGTTGACGGACATCCAGAATGAGGTTTGTCATCAATCGACATTTCACCTTTTTTGAAACGAGAAAACCACTTATACACGAGTGTTTTCCATAATGCTGTCCTTGTAAGCTGTGTTCAACATCACAAGTTTCTATGGCATTTTTTCCGGAGCAGGAAACAGAATTTCACAGCCACACTCTGTTCTCTTAAATCGGCCATCACAAAAAACAAGGTTGGAGTGCAACTACTTTTACAAAAACATTCAGTGCGCTCAGAGAACCTTTCCAGGCAACACTACTGGGTGCACTAACTCAGAGCGAGTTGCTTAATGCTCCCTTAGTGGGAAACATGCACACTACGAAAGCCCCGCTCTGCCTAGTGCAATTCGTTTGTTTGTTTGTTTGTCTGTACCCCCTCAAATATCATTCCGTATTTCAATCACGTCAAGTAGAATTTTACAACTGCTACCACATTCAATTTCCAACCATGCATTTTCTACATGGAGTCCTTGACATTGTATCCCTTTTACACTACTCCCACTGTACCCTCCTCCTCCGGGGACCTCTTATTCTACTTATTGTTCCTACAGGCCCATCAGTCCTGGGTTTCAAATACCAAAAAACAAAAGCATATTACACAGCTTCAAGAGGGTGGTGCAGGTTGGACCTGAGCTGGTTTCCAAAACTTTCTGCATTTTTGGTTTGTACTGTTTTGTTTTTGTTCATTCATAGTGGAGTATATCTCAGAGGTGTTAAGTCAATGGAGGAAATGAATTTTTAATGGAAGTAGAAAATTAAGATATAGTTGAACATAAATGTACATAAACTAAATCAACAGTAGTAAAACATAAAACATCTACAGTCACCACATACCTTTCTCTTGTGACTTTCCTAAATGCTGTTAAGTCATATGCTCTTAATAAGCATTTGAATAAGCTTTCATTTATGAAAGCAATTAAGTCGTGAGGGATGAGAGAAAAATTAAATTTCCTGAACATTGTTTTCATTTACTTAGTTGCAAAGCTCATGTTTTCCCAGGCCAGAAATCAACCACATTTAGGTACTCCTAAATCACACATGCACATATATGAAATACATTCCACACACTAAAGATACTATATAACTGGAAGTTCTCAAAAACAAGTGAAAAAAAGTACAGCTAATAAACAGAAGTCTAAATTTAGCCTCCAAAGGGTTGGAAAGACCTCTACAGTTTGTGCTTGTGTACATACGAGAGGCCATCTTAACGCTCACAAAAAACTCCTTTTATCTTTCTATTCCATTTTTCTATGAACATTTTGAAGCTTCGTCTCACACAACAGCATACAATTTTACTAATTTTGTATCCTTGAACTTGTTATAATTCTTTTTAACACCTTTCTTTTCTTCCAAGAACGAAAACATCAAATGGCAAAGTCTTTTCTCAACTAAACTACAAAGGTGGATCAAAAAGTATTGCTATTAGGTTTCCAGTTTATACATGTATTTAGTCCCACCCAAACCTGTCTAAACAGATCTGCCAATAGTGGATGGCTGCAGGCAAGTTCTCTCAATAATACTTATCTGGATCTCCTTTTTAAAAAAACAATCCAATAAAAACATTGACCTCTGAGGCATTCTGCTGGGACAATTCAAGAGACAGAGGTCAATTCCGAAGGTTCAAACTGTTTCTGTGATTCCCAAGGGGTAACCTAAACAGTTTTTTCCAAAGAACACAGATGATCCCAAGGGATTAGTATGAAGTTTTAGGAGAACTGAAAGTTTTGCCAAGAATTTTTTTTTCCCATCACAGCAATGCTCATTCTGTACGTGTAGAGCAAGGGCTGTCCTAAAAGAATTTCATTGGGAAACTTTATCCCACATACCTTTTACCTGATCTTGCCCGTTCAGACTACGTGTTGTTCCCCAAACTCAAAGAACATTGAAAGGGGCAAGATCAGTATCCTTCGAGGATGTCAAAACTACTGTTCTGACAGGGTGGGAATTGAAGAGTGCCATAACAGACGGAAATACTGCCTTCAGGAGGGCACAGACCTGGACAGAAGACTGCCAAGAAACGGTAGCTCCACATTTTGATATTTTTACGTTTTCTAGCAATATCTTTTTACTTACCTTTATAAAGTCTTTTACTAGAATATGGAGAAGAAATGTTTGCACAAACACCAAAACACAAGGATCACTGTTAAGTAGGGGGGTCTGCCATTTTCTGGAGTTTTTAAAAAAACGAAATCAGTAACTCCAAATATAGGAATGTATCAGTTGATCTAAGTGCACAGTAATGAAAATAACTCTGACATAGCAAAAGAAATTTAAGTAGCTCTTATTTTGTTTAATCGAATGAATTGAAAACAATTAAAATTGTATTAAAGCAATTTTATTAAGATTAAGAAGGATTAAGAAAAAATAATATGAAATTATAGTACTTTTTCCTTTTTTGGTTCATTGTTGGATATTGTAAAAGAACAATTTCAAAATTTCTTTACTCAGTTTCAAATGCTAAAAGAATTCTGCAATTGAAGTTATCTAAATTTTCTTACACTATACATTTTTTTATTGCTATCAGTTTTGACATTCTGCCCCTAAATAGTCAGAAGAAACAGATATCGGTCTGCCTTTTCACCACTGAAATACAGAGAAGTCATCCTATGAATTTGGCTCACACGTATCGACTATTTATTGAAGCTGTTAATCAGAAATGAAACGACGAAATGCTTTCTGGAGTACAAAAAGAAAGAAAATGAGGTCACTTTAATTAACCTGGAACTTACCCAAATTCTTCAGCATGATTTATACTTAAGTTACACTCTAAAAAAACTGGTGTTTAAAATTTAACTGAAAATCAAATGACAGTTTTTAGTTGCAGGTAAAGGCAGTTAAATAACTTTTAATAGTAAAATCATTAACATATTTCACAGGTCTGAAACACAGGTTAGATTCTGAATGAACTAACATTTTGAAAGAAGGCATAGCAATTTTTAAAGCTATTCTATTTTCTGAGTTAAGGAAGAAAAGGGTACATTTTACAGAATTGCAAAATACCAAATTTAAATTAACTCCTGCCTTTATAGCTGTCTTGTTATAAATATTCTGTAATAGTAAACACTCAATATTTAATGTGACAAAGATCTGGATTTAGAAAATGCAATCAAGTAATTTTTAAAGAATAAATTATATGAATAATTACGTAGCATTTTATTAACTGTCTAGGGTAGTAAAACAATATCCCTTCAAAATCACTTAAATGTTACTGATTTAACCATCAGAGTAAGTAAAGTTCTCCTGATGCTCCATTAACTTTGAACAGCTGCAGCTCTCTCAGGACAGGCAACAGAAAGCTAGTTCATGTGCTAAGTACTACACCAAGAGCATGAAATTCAGAAAACTTTCAAAGGAATTTAAATATTTGACTTATTTGCCTGCTAAATTTCATCATCAGTTTGATTTATACATTAAAAAAATAGTAAAATAAGGTCAAAGTTTAATAACTGCAAGTAACTTTTTTCAACGCTTAATCTACATTTTCATTACTAGATGTTAAATCTAGTTACTTCAGACTAGATGTTAAATCTCCAATGCTGGAGATTTAGTGAAAGAGTCCATGTTTCGGTATACTAATATTACTCTTTAAATGTTTTCAATATATACATACACATACAAATTATAGATACAATTAGTTATATTTCTATAATACACATGAACACCGTTCTCCTTCCATAGCCACATTGATAAGGATTAAGTAATAAATTTCTGTGCTATACAAGGCAAAATAAAATGGGCACTTTAAAAAATTAATTTTTAACAAAGAGTTTCAAAAATAAAGTCAAATATTGCACGAGATAATTTAACTGCAAACAGGACTGCACACTGTAAAGCAATCTGTTCAAATCCTGAAATTGCAGTAAATTAAAATCCATTTCCTATTTCTTTACAAGAATTTATTGGAACTCTACATTTAGATATGAGGTGTTTCCATTCAGTGTACTCGGAATGAAATGTTCACAAGTTAACTGAGTCTTTGTCTTAAAAGCTCATCTATCTGAGTCTTGTACATGTTTTTCACATCGTCAAGGTCTAGTCGAAGTTCCTCTGCCTCCTCTGCCTTCTCTCCGTACATCTGCAGAATAGTGTTGTAGCGCTGATCCAGATCCTGCAAAATAAATGTTTCTAATTTTTAAGATCACTGCAAATAACATGTTGAATACATGACTCGGTAGTAAACACATTACAGTTTAAATGAAAATATACACTTGTTTTTACACAAATAACACATTAAATGTTTGCCAACTGTACCCTTTTGTTTTGCCCTAAAAAAATTAGCACAGCTTACATACTTACAAAAATACTTTTTAGGAAGGACATCGTTGACCAAAAATATATAATATATTTATGTATTATTTATGCAAAAATATGCTACTCATCTCTTTTAAAATTTAAGTTTAGATTATGATCTAACTTGGAATTACTTAAGTAAATGATTTTGCAGGGGGTGGACAACAGAAAAGTGGGTGAAGGGAGACCAGTCTGTGTATGACATGAAAAAAATTTTTTTTAATTATCAAGGGTTCATGAGGGAAGGAAGGTGGGAGGGGGGGAAATGAGCTAGTACCAAGAGCTCAAGTAGAAAGAAAATGTTTTGAAAATGATAATGGCAACATATGTACAAATGTGCGTGACACAGTGGATTGTGATAGGAATTATAAGAACCCCCAATAAAATGATTTTTTAAAAAGTAAAGGATTTTGAAATAAAATCTACACGTCAGATGGTTTCAATCTTATTCTTTTCACTAAGTCTGCAATTTTCCCCATATATAATTGTTTCTCTTCTCTCCCACCAATATTAAAAACATTTCATGTAATTTGTCTCTTTGATTACCCGTATATACTCGAGTATAAGCCGACCCAAATATCAGCCGAGGCACCTTTTACCACAAAAACTGCATTAAAAATGTGCCGAAAAAACTTGGCTTATACACTAGTATCGATGGTAATTATAACTGTATTCATTACCTGGCATTTAGCCCACAGGAAAATCCAAAAGAAAATACATTTGAATTTAATACATAACACTGTTATCTTAAAATCAAATAGTCTAATTGTGGTGATACATATAATGTCCATGAATAAAATATTACTACTGTCATAAACAGAGGTCTTTTAAAAATAGAAAACATTTACTCTGGAAAAACTGTATGGATTTCAAACTAAAGGAAGTCTAACTTGCTACAATACACTTGAACAGTATCTACCTGGAGGCACAAAAAAGGAAGACATCAGTTCTGAAGAGAGTTCCTATCAGTGCAACTTGAGTTCTGCTAACCTGGAAGCATGAATATACATACATCAATTTTTTTAGAGGGGAAACGGCCTCTTGGGGACAATGCCCCAGAGAAATCTGCATTTCCAAATAGAGAGCTTGTTTTTGTTTTTGAGAGCTTGTTTTAAGAAAGGGCAAGACCACATATGAGATGAAGCCCACAGCGGCAGACCATCGCATTAAAAAAAATTAATATAACTCATGCCCTAATTGAAGAGGACCAATGACCAACCTCATAGACAACTCAACCAGTGCAACTTATACCTGATGGGAAAAAATTTTTTTAGTCATTTTATTGGGGAATCATACAGCTCTTATCACAATACATACATACATATACATTGTGTCAAGCACATTTGTACATTTGTTGCCATCATCATTTTTAAAACATTTTCTTTCTACTTCAACCCTTCATATCAGCTCCTCATTTTCCCCTCCCTCACTTATTTATAAATTTATATAAATATTTTTAATTTTTTATTTTTTTTTATAAATTATAAAATTTATAAATTATTCTTATTTTTTCATGTCTTACACTGACCGATGCCTCCTTCACCCACTTTTCTGTTGTCTGTCCCCCAGGGAGGGAGTTACATGAAGATCATTGTGATCAGTTCTCCCTTTCTCCCCCACCTTCCCTTACCCTCCTGGTATCGCTACTCTTATTATACCTGATAGAATTTTAAACTTGGGCAAAGTTTCAGCTCCATGGGTGCCAAAATTGATGCACTCAGATTAGCTGCGAGCAAGAGTTTTTGATGGAAATTTGAAACAAGTGGGATCAAGAACATGAAGCAATTCTTTCAAGCATTGTAAACAAAAAATACAGCCTGGCTTTGCCAGTATGATCCAGGGGAAAAAACACAATCAAAGCAATAGTTTTCACCCAGTGGAAGTGACCCAAAGGGAAAGCTAACTGATCCAAGAGCAAACATTAGGTAACAGCTTCTTTTGCATGCTCATGCATTATGCTCCTTGAATTTCTGGAGGGCAAAGCACTGTAACATCTGTTTGTTAAGAGAATGTTTTGAGAAAGTCAAAGCATTAGCAGAAGAGCCTTCAGGAGAGCTTCCACAGAGCACCCCCCCCACAATGCTCATGCCTCTTATAGACTCAGGGCAGGGGCAGTTTTTCAAGAGTTTCAATGGGCATCCACCATGTAGTCCTGGTTTGCATCTTTCTGACTTCTTTTTGATCCCCAATATTAAATAAATCCTTAAAAGGCATGCTATTTTCTTTAGTTAATAATGTGGCAATTACTGCATCAGCATGCTTAAATTTCCAGGATCCTCAGTTCTTTAAGGACACACTAAAGGGTTTGTATCGACACTTCTAAGTGTCCTGAGAAATTCATTTTTCGACACACTTTTTGAAAGCCTCTCATACTGCTGTTCCTGGAGAGTAAATCCCCACTCAGGGCAACCCCAGGTGTGCAGAGCAGAACTGCTCCACAAGGTGCTCAAGGCTGTGTCCTTGGGAAGTCCATGATTAGGTCTTACTCCCCAAGAAGACTCTGGCAGGCTATGCAATGTCAAGTTTCCAGTTAGTGGTCAGCCCAGTGGTACCCATTTGTGCCACACACGGGCGAGTGAGTCCACGTCAGAAAATGCAATCTGATAAATGAGCCTTAGCCAAATAAAGATCACTACTGCTTTTTTTTTGCTTTTGCTTTTTTTTTACAGTGAGAGAGTGAGGCAGTGAGTGAGTGAGACAGTGAGTCAGTGAGAGAGTGAGACAGTGAGAGAGTGAGGCAGTGAGAGAGTGAGGCAGTGAGTGAGTGAGA